TCAGCCCTGTGAAATGTGGCCAGTGGCCTCCAGAACCTGCACCAGACACACAACTCAAGTTAGCTGGCGAAGAAATTCTGAAGACCATCCTTCCAAGTGCTTAAATAAAGTGAGCTAGCATATACGAAATAAAGATTTTAAAATGTGTTTATTATGTAATTCAGATTTTTCACAAATTCAAACTAGCCCCAAGGCAGAGAGATTTTTTTTGAGAGAGGACCCTATCTCAACTCACCTCTCCACCTCCTCCTTCCTCCAATTTAAAAAAAGAAGAAAGAAAAACAAAGCCTTTGTAACAAATAGCCACGATGAAGCAATAAAAATTCCCACATCAGCCATGTCCAAAAATATATGTCTGATGGGTAGTATGATTCATCATCAGTCCTCTGGATTTGTAGTTGATCATTTCACTAATCAAGGTTGTTAAGCCTTTCAAAATTATTGTTATTGTATAAGTCGTTTCGTTGGTTCTATTCACTTCATTTTGTGCCAGTTCATACTTCTCTGGTTTCTCTGAAACAGCATAAGAATATTCCATTGCATTCTTTCCTGAATGATGGGCATCCCCTTGGTTTTTAATTTTTTTTCTTAATTTCTAGTTCCTTGCTATAAAAAAAAAAACTTGCTATAAATATTTTTATGCATGAGTCCTTTCCCTCCTTTTATCTCTTTGGGGTATGCACAGCTTAGTGACTTTTGGAACATAGTTCCAAATTGCTTTTACATATATATACACATATATATACATATATATATACACATATATATATAGTGTGCATATATATGTGTGTATGTGTAATTATATATATGTATTAATCAAAATTGTCCATTTTATCTTATATGATCTTCTCTATCATTTATTTGCTAATTCCCTATCCACAGTTGGGAAAGGCATGCTTTTTTATGGGGCAGCTAAAGGGTTCAGTGGCTTAGACCTAGAGTTGAGAAGACCTGAGTTCAAATCCAGCCTGAGACACTTACCAGCCATGTGACCCTGAACAAGTCACTTAACCTGTGTTTGCTTCTGTTTTCTCATCTGTAAGATGGGGATAATAAGACCTCCCATCTCCCAGGCTTATTGTGAGGATCCAATGAGATAATTATAATTTATAATAATATGATAACTATAATTCATAATAATATATAATATATTATAATAATTATATACTTAACACAGTATCTGGCACATAGCAAGTGCTATATAAAGGTTATCTCTTACTATACTTCTTCCTTGCTTCACTATTTTATATGACATTTCCCAGTCCCACCTACTGCTTGAGCCTTCCCTCTGAGATTATCTCCACTTTACCCCGTGAAAATCTTGATTGTATATCATCATCTGCGTATCATCTTCCCAGTTAAAAGGAGAGCTCCTTGAGAGCAGACACTGCATTTTTGCTTTTCTTTCCATCCCCAAAACTTGGCACAGTGCCTAGCCCATCGTAAGTGTTTCATAAATGTATGTTGACCAACTGACCTTTTATATCTAAATCATGTGTCCCTTCGGAGCTTAACTTGGAGTATGGTATGAAATGCTGGTCTAAATCTAATTTCTGCCAGACTACAAACTTCTCAGCAGCTTTTGCTGAACAGTGAATCCTTACAGTAGTAGTTGGAGTCTTTCAATTTATCAAACAATATGCTACTATATATTTTTTTGTTTCTGCATGAAGGAAAGCCAGAAGGAAATATGGGCAAGTGAGACAGCTTTCAAGGTTATATATTGAATTCATGATATTCTTTAAAGGAATAAGAAGCTGTGACGTTCACAGTTTCACATGTACTCATCTATTTCTGCTCAGCTTTGTATACGGAATGCTGATTTCATTTAGTGTTTTAACTTAAAATATTTTTTAATTGAACATCACATCCACTTCCACCAGGGTGAAGATAGCCCTCTGACCCATGCTGCACATGTAGAAGGGGACACGACTCCCAACTGGCTAAAGCTGAACACAATGCCTTGTACTTGTGTAAATGAGATTGTCGAAAGACACTTTGGAGTAGGGTTCTGGAGAGGCGGCTGTGAGAGGCAAGACAAGCTTGTGAATAGTCACAGAAGCCCCTGGAGCTGCACGCACATGGTCTACGTGCTCCTCGGCTTCTAACGCTATGGTCCTAGAGAATGGACTCCCCTTGGGGAGATCACACCTTCTCTCCTTGAGAAGCTTGAAAAGCTTGACATCTTTAACTTGCTTGCATTTGAAGAGACCATTTACTCTTGTGTTTTCTTTGATATATTCTGACCTGTACAACTTCCCTGATTTCTATTTGCTGTTTTCATTGACAAAGAGTTTCACTAGCTATTCATAATGGTCTTTTTTTGTAACCAACATTTGGTAGGAAAGAGCTAAACTGTTGCTTGTAAACTAAGGGCTACACTCCCCTCAAGAGCGTTCAGGGAGTGACTTTTGTTCTGAACACTTAGAATCATACCCCTAGACTAGAGATATTTGAGGGGTGGCAGATAGAAATTAGTCTGGCTTGACATCTTTCTTGGAGGCTGGATCTTAGCCTCTGCAGTCCTAGGTCCTGCCACTCCCTCCCCTCAGCTGGCTGGATGGGCAGAGCCCTCCACCTATCCCCTGGACAAGTGGACCAGATCCCAGATCATATCTATCCACACAGCCCATGAGCCAGCTACCTCTACAGAGTAAGCATCTCCATTCATATCACACACACACACACACACACACACACACACACACACACACACACAC